GAGGTTTCAGCTGCTGTATGACGAATGACATAGGCAGACATCACTGCTGTTACTACCAATTCCATGTTCATGGTAAGCATCACTAACAAACCCATGTACATTGCTCTGTCAGTGTTTCTCAGAACCCTCAGCACAGCACACTGCCAGGTGGCTGAAATCAGAAAACTGGAAATGGAAACCTGTTTGCTAACATTGTGCTAGATGGAAATAAGGAAGGCCAGCTGGGCTCACCACAGTTGGGACGTCAGTGTGGACTATTGTCTGGTCCCAGCAGATAAGGATGGCAGGCACCGTCCTAGTTTTCAGAATGTACCATCAGTTCAGTGCGTGCTCTTCTCTACACTGTGGACCAGCCCGAGGCCGGGTGGCCCAGGGAGGGTTCGTGTTCATGGAGACAGAGCGCGTGAACAGTCTTGCCTACACTGCACTCCACTTCTTGTGAAGTCTGAACCAACCGGGTCATTTCCAGGTGTTAACCAGCGTGGGAAAGGACACAGGCAAAGCCGAGGACTATGTGTCCTAGAGACTCGACAGAGCCTGCAGGGGAGCAGGAGGCAGGGAGATGGAGGCTAGATATCCACAGCCTACAGCATTCTAGCACACTAAACATACATCTTCCAGGAGGCCCAACCAGCATGGAGTGGCCACCAGGAAGTCATTTGTGACAGAAATTGTTTGGTAACCAAAAAAAAAAAACCTGTGAGAGAATGAGTTTCTGGTCTTAGAGGTGGGTAAACAAAGGATGAATGGTGGCCATCCAAGCTATAAGAGAAGAATCAGGGTCAGATGGAAACTGGGTTCTGCAGGGAGGTGTCCTAAGCAATGAGTAGGTACACCCAAGGGGGAAGGACAGTTTATGCACACATACACACACATGGACGTACACACACACATGCACGCACATGCATGCACGGGAGCTCATGCCCACAAAGCCATCCCTGGAGAGGGAATGGAGGAGGAAGAGGGAACCCCAGTCTGTGGCTCTGGATGGAGTGACGAGTTCCACAGCTACTCACGCAGCCATGTGGACTTCCGTCCTTGACAAGTCCAGGAGGTGAAGGTGCCAGGTCCTACTAGGTAGAGCCAGCTGATAGCGAGTTTCCTATTTCAGTAGGCTGTTGGCAGGTCTTGGTGCCGGAGCCTGCCAGAACCAAAATTTAGTTTTTTGCTACAGCCACGAGGAAAGGAATTCTGGCTGCCCGCCCGGCCAGTTTCCTTTGCTATTGACTCTGGGTCTGGGGTAAACTGGGAAGGAGCCTGAGTGGAGAATCCTTGTTGAAAAGGATCCCGGCTGTAAGTTAGGAGACTTGGGGTCTACCCCACTGTGTTTGGAATGCTCGGTGGTTTAAATCTGCGGGATTGTTAGGACAAGAGGGAAACTATAGTTGTGAGAATCTTCAAAAGTGGGCTAAAACATAAGATAGGTTCTGGCATCAGCGGAGGCCTCGGGGCATTGAACTCCCAGGGTGAATGCGGCAATGAGAGGAATCCACAGACCATGCATCAGACACCTTCTGTTTGGTGCCTCCTGAAAGAATGTCTTGCATTTTTCACCAGTTGCAAAGGTTATAATTCCTGGAATATTGTCTTGTTTTTTAACAGTAGAATTGTGGAAATCACGAAGCCACTGCTATTTAGGACCCGCCACTGTCACTTTAAAAAGGCATATGAACAAGCTCATTTTTAGCAGACAGAAATTTTATATCTTCTTTTTTTCTCCTTGAACTCCTATTTCTAGTCCACTTCCCCCATGGGGTTTTATCCTAATGTAATATATTTTTATGCTTGAAAGTCTTTTATTGATCACTGTTTCACACTCATCTGCCACAACAAGAGGTACATAAATTGAAATAGAAATTTCTGGAGGAAAAAAATTCCCTGGGATCATAAAGCTCTACATTTTAAAACCTTTTAATTTCTCCCCCAGATTGGGTTATGATTAGCATGCAAATTGGCAAAAACAAATTTAGATAAATAGTAGTGTAAAAATAAAAAGTTATCAAAAGCACACTTCTTGATAAAATGGATAAGGCGTCCTTTCTTTCTGAACTGGCTCGTCGATCTGTGAATTAGTATTTCTTACCGCTAGATTGAGACAGGGATTCGTCCTCGTTCCATGTGATTCTCAGTGTTTGTGGGGAAGGTTGCTCGGAGCACTGGCTTGCGTGACCAGGGAGCAGAGACCATGGGGTTTGTTTCATGTGTCACTTGATTCTTTGAACTCCTTCCAAGATGTAAGCCAAAAACCACATGCGGGTCTATCTTCAGACAGTATTTGTAATGGCCTCTTCATTTACAGCTCTGCTAGGGAGGGGTGTGCGTGTGTGTGCGTGTGTGTGTGTGTGTGTGTGTGTGTGTGTGTGTGCGCGCGCATGTGTGTCCACAGGCAAGAATATGGACATAGCAGTCAGTGTGGGGTTCCTTTCTTCCTCTCCACCTTTATGTTTTGAGACGAGGTCTCTTGCTGCGCCTGTGACTCACCTGTTTGGTTAGACTGCTTGCTATGCTGTGCCCCACCTGGCTTTTGTGTGAGTGTGGGGACGCTCATGCTTGTACCTCGGGCACTTCACCAACTGAGCCGTCTCCCTAGCCCCCCATCTTTATTCTGAGTGCAAGGGGGGAATTGGAGATCCCTGAACGAAGAACAGGAACTGTCCCCGGTCTTTTGATCCAGTCACTTCTTTATGCTCAGGACTTCAGCGTTGTCCTGCTCCAGGGAGAGCAGTGGCCCTATGACAGGTTAGCGCTTAGCAGTTAGTGCTTAGCGGTTAGCTCTGGCGGGATGGTCCTCCTTGGCTGGAGGAGAGAGTGACAGAGGAGACCATTGGGCAGTTCCTCCCCCTGTTCTGGCTCATTGGGTTCAGGGGGAAAGTACTTTCGAGTTGACAGCAGGGAAACAGTTTTCTTAAAGCCACTGTCCTCAGGCGCCCCTTTTAGAAGACCCTGCTCCAGGGGATGTCCAGTTTGAGGCCAAGCCCTTGAGAGCCTTTGGAATCCCACTTGTCACAACTTCCCACTCCAAATGCTGACTTTAGCGCGTTCTGGGACCAGCTGCTATGGCTTCTGGGCACTGAGGGGGTAGCTATCCATGGGATGTCCATGAGATATCCTTTTCCTTCGCATGTCTACCTTTTGTATTTTGTCTAGATGTCCAGTCTTCTCTGGGGATGGCAGCTGGGTATACACTTGGGAATCAAGAGTCCTACCCACATTTCCTGTCTTCAGAATACTTCCTCCTCTTCTGGGCCCCTCACGCATCCCTCTCCCTCAAGTCAACGCCTCTGCCAGGGGTGTAGCCAAGTGCTGGGTGGGAGCTTCTGGCAAGCATCTGTTTGTGGCCAGGGAACCATCTTGCAGCAAAAGCAACAGCAAGGACAGGGACAGGGAAAGACTAAACTGGGCAGGCAAGTCCTGTCAGCCCTCCCCTTTAGAGCAAAATAGTCCCTCCCAGATCGGCGAGGCCTGTAAGTGGTGCCGGGTCATGCTTGTTCTAGAGGAGTGTGGCCTCACCACTAAGGAGAATACAGCTTGCTTGGCTGTGCTGGCATCCTGGAAACTGGCTTTGACCGTGTGGCCTCACCAGCTCTAGAGTCCCTGGCCCGGGCACCTCCAGGACCATGTGCTCACCAGTCATCCAGAGGACTGAAAGGGTGTTGGGGAAGGGAAGCAAGGCCTGCCCTGAGGATGTCCCTTGTGAACTTGATGGTGTGACACTCAGTTCAGCCGAGATGAGCAACCTTGGGTCAGGATGTGGCACCGCCTAGTTCTCCCCCCAGCCCCCCCGTTGAAAAATGGAGATAATAGTTACCCCTCTTCTCTGGAGCTTTGGAGATGTGTTAAGCTAATGGGAGAAGCCCCGAGCTGGCGTCTTGTACCCCAGCCCTTCAGCCTGGACAGATTCCTGAGGGTGCCTCCTCCATCTCTGCCCCTCCACCCAAGCATGGTCTGAGCCAGCCCTGTTCCGAGATGCTCCAGGTGACAGCCACTGTAGTGCTTCACAAAGGCTCCAGCAGAAGCAGAGGCATGCAGGACAGGGCAGCAGGGCTGGGGTGGAGGTGGGGGTAGGGGCAGTGGTCAGTGGTGGCCATGGCAGGTGACCAGAGGTCAAAGTAAGCATGCCATGTGTCTCCTTTAAGGATCATTTTACTGGAAAGTTTTTATTGGGGGGTGTAATGCCCATGTACAAATGAGAATTCCAACAACACAAAACCTCAGGGGGGTTGGCCTGTCAGCTGCTTCTGCCCTCCTAGCAGCCCTGGAGAACACGTGAATGGCCATGGTCAGTACTAGTGTGTGTGTGTGTGTGTGTGTGTGTGTGTGTGTGTGTGTGTGTGTGTGTGTGTGTTTGGAGGTGTACATATATGTGTGTGTATGTGTGCATGCACACGCTTGTGTGTAGAGGTCACGGGACAATCTCGGGTACTCAGGTGTCATTCCTCAGGTACCACATCCCTCCTTTTTTTGGATCCAGGCAGAGCCTCTCATTGGCCCAAAACTCACCAAGTGTGATAAGCTAGCTGTCCGGCCAGTACCAGGGATCTTTCAGTCCAGTGCTGGGATTGCAAGTGTGTACTACAGTGTCTTTTATGTGATTTCTGGGGATCGGATCCAGATCCTCACACTTTAAGTTAATACTACACCAGCTGAGCTGTCTCCCCAGCCCTGTTTACTTGTTTTGAAAAAGGGCCTAGCTCTTTAGCTCAGGCTGGCCTAAGATGCACTAGGTAGTGTAACGGTCTAACCTTGAACCTGCCATCCTTCTGCCTCAGCCTCCTGAGATCTGGAATTATAGGCATGTACCACCTCACCCAGCAGCCAGCACAAGTTTTCAAGTGGGGAGGCTGCCACATGGCCCTACCTACTCTTACTGATGTCAGCTAGGGAGACTGAGGCCCTGGTGTCCCAGGTGCCTGGCCGCCCCCTTCCCCCAGCTGGCCTTGACCATAAGCTCAGTCATTCCCCAACATTAAGGGCTCTTTCTGATTTCTTACGTAATTCAGATGGAAAAGCTTCAGAAGGCAGCCCCCACGGTGGATCTGTTCGGAGCCGGTATTCAGGGACCTGGATTTTTGACCAAGCTTTGAGATATGCATCTGGTACGTGATGGCTGAGGGACGTGGCCTGGTCGGGTCAGCATGGAGGGTGGGCACAGCTGGCCACGGCTGCCAGCCTCACACCCTGAGCAAGCGAACTCTGCTAGTATCTCAGGGCCTGAGGGGCCCCCTCTCCCTTCCCCCGTCCGGCCACTGTGAGCAGATCTTGAGTCTACCCTCAAGGGATGACAGGACATGTGGAAATCTGGTGGTCTAGACTCCCTGTACCATTTCACCAGGACTTCCTATGGGTCACCGACAGCCATGGGAAAAGAGTGGTCTCACAGCCACCTGTGTTTGGCGGCTCGTCCCTTCCCTGCAGGAACTCCCAGCCTGTAGCAGCCTTGTCTCCCACCAGCACAGGGTCATGTGTTGAGCACTTCCTCTGTCTCTGCTGCCTGTGACCCTCCTCCTCCTGGGCATTCCAGAAATCTGGTTCTGAAGAAAACACTTGAAATGCTGGTGGTAGCCGCAGCCTTCACTCACTGAGTACCTGCTGCGTACCAGGCCTCACACTAAGGACTCCCAGTACACCACTCATTCCCATGGCTGTTGTTTTATGGAGCGGGATCCTGGGGGTTTTCCTGACTGGCTCGCAGGGAGTTAAGATGTAGACTCTCGTTGGTTGCCCTCGCTGCTCAATGAGGCCACCACGAGCGTCTCAACTCTCTGTCCATTTACCACCTTCTACCCACAGGGACTCTGGAGCTCCGGAACTGAGGGGGATTGGAAGGTGAGCTTAGGAGTCCCTCCCGCTCATCCTCACTCTGTCAGGGGTGGCGAGATGATCGGCGGCCTCACACAAGGCAGCGTGAACCCTCAGCTCTCCACAAGCAGAAGAGATAGTTTGCCGTAAAGCCACTGGTTATAAACAGTATTGACTGTAGACTGAACTCCTCCCTCCAGCTGGGCCAGGGTTCCACCTCCAGCCTCCAGGTCCTACTCTGGCTGTCACAACACCATCACCAAGTTATCCCCAGGCCTGCTGACCTCTGTGCCCCCATTAGATGGAGGGCAGGGGTCACATCTGTCTCACAGCCGAGCCTCCGTGCCTGGCCATCGCAAATGCCCAATGAATCCTTGGTTGGTGGGAAGAAACTGGCAGAAACTGTCAGGGCGGGTGGAGGCTCCAGGAAGGGAGTCAGGGAGTTATCACTTGGTCGATGAGTATAGCCGCAAGCCCCCATGCAACGCTTGTCCTCACCGTGTGCCAGCTCAGGGCTGAATGCAGAGAAATGCGCGCTCCGTTGCGTCATACCTGTGTCTTCCTAGTGCTGCGACCCCTCATACAGTTCCTCATGTTGCGGTGACGCCCAGCCATAAAATGATTTTTTTTTTGGTTTTACGAGACAGGGTTTCTCTGTTTTGGAATCCAAGCCTCAGACAGGTGAGAGTGAGTCCTAGTGGGGGAGCGGGATTGGCAGACAGTCTCCCAGGCTGCCCGACAGAAGTCTCTGCTTCTCGGCACAGAGAAACGGAGTGGCAGTTAGTGATGGTGACCATGTGTCTCCGGGGAACGTGGTCCTCCTGTATTAGTTCTTCCCTTAGCCCCTGGTCTTCCCCAGAGAAGGCACTCAGGCACAGACTGTGAGAGCCAGGCTCCGTCTCTGGGCCTACACTAAAGGAGTGGTTTTACCCACCTCAGCTGTGGGTGCCTGACGTTTCCTGAAAAGGCGCATGCCTAGGCCCCCAGACCCATCAGCTTGAGGATGACTCTTCCGGGACCAACACCTCCTGCATATGCTCCCTGGCCTTCTAGAAAGTGGATGCTGGGCCCAGGTAGCCTCCCGCCTGCAGGAGAGCTCTGCCCGTTGGAGATGGGCAGGCTCTTTACCTGGGGTCCCTGCCAGATTAATCCCTGCTAGCCGTGTCCACCCTCCCTGCCATGCACTTGGTCCCAGGCTCTGCATGGTCATTTTTGGGTCCACTTGATGGTCAGCCATTTTACTTCTCTGCACCTGGGAAAAGGCTCCAAGCAGCGGAAGTCAGGTGTGCATGTGCCGTGGATGTTGTGTGCTGAGCACCGTGGCTCCTCAGCAGCTGTCCTTAGGAGCTTGTCTGTAGTGGGGCAGGACACTTGCTAGGCAGAGATGAGAACCAGCTGGAGGGAGGTGCCCAGACCACAGCCTGCTGTGTCTGGAGGAATCACCACGGTCAGATTGCTGCCAGGTGCGGAATGGCGGCTGGAGCCCCTGTGGCCTGATCTGAAGCCTGTAGTCTTCCTCTCTGTCCCATGCTGGAAACAGGTCGGCTTCAAATTCAGGAGTGGCATCCTTGTGGTATGGTGGCCATCACAGCGCACTCTGGGTCCCTCTCCTTTTTCCTCTCGATGTGTAACTGCAGGACTCAGCCAGGGTGTCACCTTTATCCTACAGGTTTGGAAGCCGGGGAAGAGAGATGGTTACAGGTGTGTAAGGCGCACGCTTCATGAACCCCATCTCAGTGCTGTCCCTGCTGGTCCTCAATCCCCTTTTGTCTGCCAGTGGACCATCCCTACTGGTGACACTGTGGGTCCTCACCAGCCCTTTCCCCTACTGTGTTCCAGGGTCCTATGAATGTGGCATCTGCGGCAAGAAGTACAAGTACTACAACTGCTTCCAGACCCACGTGCGGGCACACCGAGGTGAGTGGCGCCCTGCTGCCTGCCCCATGCTCGCCGTGTCCCTAGGGACACTGAGAGTTCATCCTCCTTCAGCCATAGGATGGGGGGCATGGAGGAAGGGAGAAGCCTTCTTGATGTCGTGTGAGTGTGTGTGAGTGTGTGTGTGTGTGTGTTGAGTGTGTGTGTGTGAGATCGTGCGTGTGTGTGTGTGTGAGTGTGTGAGTGTGTGTGTTGTCTGCATGTGTGAGTGTGTGTGAGTGTGTGGTGTGTGTGTGAGTGTGTGTGAGTGTGGGTGTGGGTGTGTGTGAGTGCGTGTGAGTGTGTGTGTGAGTGAGTGTGTGTGAGTGTGTGAGTGTGAGTGAGTGTGTGTGGGTGTGTGTGAGTGTTGTGTGTGTGTGAGTGTGTGTGTGAGTGTGTGTGTTGTGAGTGTGTGTTGTTTGTGAGTGTGTGTGAGTGAGTGTGTGTGAGTGTGTGAGTGTGTGTGTTGTGAGTGTGTGTGTTGTGTGTGAGTGAGTGTGTGTGAGTGTGTGTGTGAGTGTGTGTGAGTGCGTGTGTGTGAGTGAGTGTGTTGTGTGAGTGTGTGTGTGAGTGTGTGTGAGTGTGTAGTGTGTGTGTGAGTGTGTGTGTTGTGAGTGTGTGAGTGTGTGAGTGTGTGTGTGAGTGTGTGAGTGTGTGTGTGAGTGAGTGTGTGTGAGTGTGAGTGTGTGAGTGAGTGTGTGTGAGTGTGTTGTGTGTGTGTGTGTGTGTGAGTGTGTGTGTGTGAGACCGTGCGTGTGAGATCAGGGCCCTGGTTTTGGCGTGGAGGGCTCTGGGGACGCTCAGTAGGAGTGTCACCTCCCCATCCCTCGAAAGGTCATGTGCTCACATCATCTTGTGTCCCTCTTGACAGCTCAAGGGAGGGGCCACCAGCCGTTCCCCATTCTGAAGTTCGGGGGACAAATGAACTGGCGCCTGCCCCTCGTGAGCCAGGAGGCAGGGAAGAGAAGCCAGTTCAGGCCTGGGTGATCTTGAGCCTCAGGGCAGGGATTAGCCTTTGTCCCTTATAGCATCCATGGACGGACAGCAGTTCCCGATTCCCCTCAGTTGCTCCATTCAGAGTCTCTTCCTCGGTGCAGCCTGCCACTGCCATCATCTTTGCTCACTGGCTTATCTCCTTCTTCTACCTCTCTCTCTGTCTCTCACAGATACCGAAGCCGCCTCAGGGGAGGGAGCCTCCCAGAGCAGTGAGTACTTTCCCGCCTCCTGGGTGTGTGGGGACCAAGCACAGGGCCTGGAGAGGAGCTGTCACCTCCTCCCTGGGACAGCCTTTGAGAAACACATTGCTGGAGGCCAGGCCTCAGGACCAGACAGGCCTTCAGAAATCAGAACAGGCCTTCTCAAAGTGGGTTCCACAGCGTGCACATTCTGAGGAGGGCTCTCTCAAAAGAAGGGTTCTGTGGCCAAGTAACTTGGGGAAACCTTGAGTTCACCCACATAGGCATAACTGAAATCTTGCAATGGGTGTCCTGTGCCATCATGAACATCTCTGGGAGGAACCTTCATTGTACTTTGGACCCTGGCTCATGGACCTGGGGTTCTGTAGCCTGTGCTAGGGAGCAGTTCTCTTGGAAGACCCTCAGCCTTGGGCACAGTTGGTCGTAGGTGCTTGGTCCTAGGGTTCCAGATGCTGGGGCCCTGTGATAGTTGCTCACAGGTCCTGCTTGCCCTCCCTTCAACTCCAGCTCCATGGGATCATAAGCAGACAGCCCATGGGGTACACTTCGAGGTGAAACCTCTGCCCTTCCACACCCCACCCCCTCCACCCCAACCCCCTCCACCACCACCCCCAGCACAGCATGATCTTCAAGAGTTCTACCCTAGGTGACTATCCCACAGGGACATATGTCTAGATCCATCAGAAGATGCAAACTAGAATGTTCTAGTGTGTTGTCCCCAGCAACTCTGAAGCAGAGGCCACCCCGATGTCCAGTGTTAGGCGTGGCTAATAAGTGCACTCACATAAAGGGCTGCGCGCAGAAGTGGGGGCGAGTGGGGTCCGGCCATCCATGGCTAGCTGCACAGAGCTCTCAACCCCGAGGAGTGAAGCCACGTCAGAACGCACAGGCGTAGGTGACAGGGGCGCCATGGAATTCAGGAGACTGGGCAACCCTGAAAGCGTCTGTTTTACGCTTCTTGAGCCAAGGGTCCAGTTCCACAGGGCTTTCTGTGGGTGGAACATGGCCAAGCTGCTTGCTTAAGACCTAAATACTTTGTTCTGTGGGGGCCAAGAAGTGTTTTCTGTAGAGAACCGGACAGTAAGGAGACTGTCCAGGGGCACGGCATTTCCATCCTCAGCCCCTCACTTGTAGGGGGAGCTCCAAGGGGACAGCACGAGGCTAGAGTCCTGCCAGTAAAGGTGGCGGCAGGGTGTGCCCAGGGAATGTCACCTGTTACTTGTGTTAAAAACAGTTACAGATAACAAATTTTTTAAAAGGAGGTTAGAGTATGAACTAGCCTGAGCTGAAGAAAGGCCCCACCTGAGGCTAAGCCCTGAGAACATGGTTCTTGAGCCACTCACTCTGGAGAGGTGAGCAGAGCTGACACGACCCTCTGTGTTCAGCTTGCCTGGACACCTGCCATAGACTGAATCTGGGAGGCACCGACAGCTGACCCCCACCCCCAGGCCAGCCCTGTCTCTGTCTGCTTCAATAGCTCCTCCCTTCTTTCCTGGACCCCCGAGGTCGGCCTGTGGTCAGCCACACAGTAAAGACCTTCCCTGTGTACCCTTCCTTGCACGGCTATTCTGGTGTCCCTGGGAGCCAGTCAATGGGCTGTTGTTCTGTGCCCAGATTCCTCTCTACAGATGCCCTAGTATTGGTGCTGTGGTGGGAAAAAGTTTAGACCTATCTTCACTTTTCCATTCCTCTGTATGAGCCGTTTCCCCAGGGCCAGGGTGCTGTCTTTTCTGTTCTCTGTTAGTGAGCCGATGGGTCAGCCCTAGCACAGGGCTGTAGAGCTTAAAGGTTCCTGTGGAGAAGGTCAGCTCTGGCCGCCACTTTGTACATGAAGACCCTGAGTCCCCGGGTGTGGAGATCAGGCAGCTTGTTAGCAATAGAGGCAGGCCTTATGCTTCCTAGTCCAATGACCTGTGTATGTTTAGCTGGGAGATGATCCAGCCACACACAGACATAGAGACACACCCACCCACTCACCGGTCTTTCAGTATGAGAGGGTCAAAGACCAGTCCCTGCAATATGCTTCCCTAGCTCCCATCTTCATCTCCTAGGTCTTCTTTGGGAAGCCCTGCCACATGACATTTTATTTACCTAAACCTGGAGGCAGGAGCTGATGCAGAGGCCATGGAGGGGAGCTTGGCTCAGCCTGCTTTTTTATAGAACCCAGAACCACCAGCCCAGGGATAGTACCACTTGAAGTGGGTTGGGCCCTTCACCATCAATCACTAATTAAGAGAATGCCCTACAGCTAGATCTTGTTCCTTTCTTTGTTACAAGGAGCTGTTGTTATTCCCATGTCACAGAGGCATTAGGGAGTGTGTCCAAAGTCAGTCATATTTTTGTCAATGGTAGAGTGGAGTTTGGACTTAGGTATCTCACTCCAGAATCTGCGTCCTATAGCAGGTCCATGGTGGCATTCCCTAGATGCTGGGCTCTGTTTCGAAAACACGGTTTCACTGGCAGACTCCCTTGGGAATAACTCAGTCTCCCGGTTCAACTCCTCCATTAACGTTTTGGAACATGAGACAGTGTAGATTCAGCAGGGCAGATGGGGGTGGTTCAGTGACAGAAAGTTGTGGGGATGTGTTTTATTAGAGCTGGAAACTGTGGCCTGTGGAGAGAGAAGCGGGCTGGCTGACAGGACAGTCTGTGGGCAGAGTGAGCAGCTGCGGAGGGCAGGCAGTTCCGGGTAGCCTGAGAGAGGAAGGTCAGGAGGAAACCTCATCTGGAGTTAGCCCCAGAGAAGATGACGAAATTGTGGGAGAAGCTGAGGGTTAGGGTCCAGATGGGACTGAATGGAAGGACAGGTTTTCTCTGAGCTGCCTGGCTTGCCATGGGAAAAGAGGTGATGCTGACATAGAACAGATCCAGGGTCACCTGATCTGGGTCCCCACCTCAACAATGAGGTAGGGAAAATGAGGGGCCAGAGACCACACCTACCATCATCCCCTGTACCCCACCAGCTCTCCTTTGGAAGACCCTGGAACTTACTTCCTGTGAATGTCTACAAGTGCCTAAGCCATAGGCTCCTTGGTGACAGTTCCTCTCTGCAGCCTTGGTGACTGCTAAGATACCTTCAGGGACCACCAGTTCCAGGGATAAACTGAGGGCGGAGATGGGAGGAAAGATGGCTAATCTAATGTCCTTCATGTCCCTGAGTTCAGCTGGCGGAGGGGGGGGCAGAAACCGCCCACCCTTTTGCAGAGTGGTACAGCCTTGGCGTGGAGTATTCCATTGGCTCCTGTGGTGGATGCTGAGGAGCAGGAAATGAGTCCAGAACAAAGCACCCAGCATGGTTTATCCCAGCAGAGAAAGGCTGTGAACCCTGACTGTGTACCCTGACTCTGGCTTGGTGTTCAGTGAATATTGGCCCCTGGCTCTCTTCTTCCTTCTGTACAGCTTTGAGCGAGCTGCTGTATGCTGTCTAGGGACCTCAGGGAGATCAGATTGGTGGGCTCTCCATAGAGCAACCAGAGGACCACATTTGACCAGGTCTGAGCCAGTTCAAAGGCAAGAGGGTATGCCCTGGAGGGAGAGGTATAGGTCTGGTTGCTGCTGGCCTCTCTGTGGGAGGCCTAGGGAACAGGCAACTTGGACCAGTGTTAGCTGACAAATCTATAAAACTTAATGACTCAAAGCAATCAACCCTGGTTTTCTCCCAGTTCCTATGATTGGGAATTCGTGTGTGGCTTTTCAGGGTCGTCTGGCTCAGAGACTCCCACAGGAGGACGGCATGTTTGGTCAGAGCTTTAGTCCTGGGCTCAGCTGGGGGTGCTTTCTCCTAGCTTTGCTCCAGTGAGAGGTGGGGGCTGCAGGACTCTGTACCTCTCAAACTGTTGCTCCAAGGGCCTGAGTTCCCGAGAGCCACTCACAGAGGGCCAAACTCAGTTCCCGAGAGCCACTCACAGAGGGCCAAACTCAGTTCCCGAGAGCCACTCACAGAGGACCAAACTCAGTTCCCGAGAGCCACTCACAGAGGGCCAAACTCAGTTCCCGAGAGCCACTCACAGAGGGCCAAACTCAGTTCCTTGCCATCTGCGTTTCTCCACTGCTCAACTAAGAACACACTAGCCAACCACAGACTGAGCAAGGGACAGGCACAAGGCCAACACCCTGGCTGCCTGTCACCCACCTTCCAGAGTGGCATCCCATCCCTTTGACCGCGTTCCAATAAGAAGCACCCCAAGAGGAGTCACACAGGGTGTGAACACTGGCTGCAAGGGGCACCACCGTGTCGCTGAAGCCACTTTACTGCAGGACGGCAGATCACGTCCTCTTAGTTTCTCATACATTAATGGGAGACAGCTTCTTCCCTCTGTTGAAAAGACTTGCTGAGAGAAGGGGCTAACACGGTGCTCACGGTTACATCTGGACTTCGCCATGGGAGCTGCAGTCACGGTTACTCTTCTGTGATGGGAGATGAGATCCATCTAGAACCAGGTCCTGGAGAACTTAGGTCTTGCAGGGAGGGTTTAGGGGTTAGTTTGGGAATCAGGGCTCCCAGGCATTTTATGGTTTTGGATCTCTACAAAGGACACCTATTATCACAATCCAAGCCTTGTAGTCCCAGAACGCATTGCATTCTAAGGCTGTCCTGGAATGGAGGCTGAGGGAGGTGTAGAGCAGGACCTGGTTAAGCATGGAGGAGGAGCTGCTCAGAGAGAGGTCCAGGCAGTGAGTAGCAGTGGCCTCCTCAGCTCAGAAAATGTGTGTAGTGTTGGCTCTCACACAGTTCAGGATCAAGTTCTCCATGGCTTGTTCTCATCTTGGTTCCAAGTGACCGTTATCTTTCTGCTCCTTCCCCCAGACAATTTCAGGTACACATGTGACATTTGTGGAAAGAAATACAAATACTACAGCTGCTTCCAGGAGCACCGAGATCTTCATGCTGTGGATGGTGAGTCAGGCCCCTCACTCTTGGGCGGACCCTGTCCCCACTGTCTCCTCAGGACAGAGCCCTTAGGAGAGGGACCTACGCTGCAGGGTTCTGGGGAGGGAGTGTCCCTGCATATCCATGTTCACTTCTGTAACTGATCCAAATGAAACTGCTGGATTTTTTTATAGGTCGAAATGAGTCAAACGTTGAATCTTCGTCTCGTGTCATTTTACAGTTTTATGTGGGGTGTTTGCATGCTGTAGTGAAATTAAAACAGTTAGTCCTTTGAGCATCTTAGATTGTAGGGGTGGAACTTAGAACAATAAATTCAAGTGACTCATCTACAGAGTCCTAAGACTCCTAGAGAGGGGCTTGGCCCCAGAAAGGAGTTGGGGTTCCCTGTCTAACCCTGCACCTGGGCCGCTGAGCAGTGATATAACACAGGGCTTGCCTTTGCCACAATGCCTCCTCGCCTCCCTTGTCTCTTGTCCCCTTTCAGCCTCAATGCATGCTGGTGTCTAGGGTGGGCTCCTGCTCCTAGTTAGGAGGAATGGGCCAGGATGGAGATGTGCCCTACTGAGGCCCTGCCTTCCTGGGTTTCCTCGTGGCCGGTCAGGCCTCCTGGTGGCACAGGCAGCCCCGTGAAGCTATGCATGACTGGAAGAGATAGCTGCGGCCAGGGACTAACAGGGCTCCTGTTTGCTTTTTCCTCCCGCCTGGGTGCAGTGTTCAGTGTGGAAGGGGCTCCCGAGAATCGGGCAGGTAAGTCTTTGTGGCTGTCCGTTTTCTCTGTCTCCAACTGGGTTCCTGTGTCTTGGGTGACCAGCATGCTAAGGCCATGTGTTCTCCCACAGACCCCTTTGACCAAGGTGTCGTGGCCACGGATGAGGTGAAGGAGGAGCCTCCGGAGCCTTTCCAGAAAATTGGACCAAGTATGCGGGACTCTGGGACCTGGGGCTGGAGGGGCTGGGTGAGGGAGGTGGCCTGAGCCAGCTGCTAGACAGGCTGGAGCCCACGCCTTGCAGCGTGCGCCCGCCCACCTGTAGGTTGGTCTAGGCTTTCTCAGGACACTAGCCTGCAAGCGGCTGCAGGCAGCGTGAAGTCAAGGTCAGGATGGTGGACGCAGCCAGTCCACAGCCTCGCTTCATCCTTTCATTTATGGCTCCCCCGCAGTCTGTTAGCCACCTGTGTTAGCTTCCCACAGCAGTGAGGGAAATCCTCCCTGCAGACTTGGTGTTATGTTAATGAGATCACAGACCGCTTGCACTGTAGCACATTCCCTGGAACATACTAGATGCTCCGAGGGCAATGACTGAGGGCTTTCAAGGGGCATTTCAGTGAACAAAACTAAGTAGGACAGCCACTTACAGACATGGACACTTTTCCCTACAACCCCTAAAGACAGGAACCCCGCTTGTAACTTGTGTGTCTTCGGTAGACTTGTCTTGGATGTTGTACAGATGTGAATGACAGACATGGCCCTGCACGCGGGTGATTCACGTGGAGACCAGGGAAGTGGGATGGTAGGGAAGTGAGCAGACAATTAGAACCCAAAGCATCCACAGCAACAGCATATGTGCAGTAGCGTCTAGCCCAGCTCCTGTCCCTTGTCCAGGGCGTGAGACGAGGGATGTCACTGGGGAAGCCATCGGGGACAGGTATTCGAGACCTAGTCCAAACCTACATCCCAAACTCTACACCAAGCTGAGGGATGTCCTTATTTCTGAAGTCTGTTGGATGTACTCCACAGTGCAGTTCATCAGCCCTCCCTTTCAGGGTTGAATCAGGGATGGGGTGGGACTCTACTGTAGGTGAATCAGCATGGTGCTTGTCACGTTATCTAAGTGTGCAGACTGCCCATCAAGAAGAAGGCAGGGTGAGCCGTGTTCTGTGCCTTATCTGATAGGCAGCCCTTGCTAGGGTCTGAAGAACTCCCCACTGAGTGCACTGGGATTGCCCTGAGGAAACTCGACAAGGGTTGACAGCAAGCACACACCCAGCTCGCCCCAGCGGGACAGAGATTGCTGCTGTGCTGCAGCCGTGCCAGGGCCCTTGTAGAGTGAGGCTGTGTGGGAAGTTTGAGGATGCTGCTTCTTGAGAAGTCGGTGCCATGCATCCCTAAAAAGTAAGCCAGGCATAGGACAAGGGTATCCTGGTTACCCTGAGGAAGGCCCTGAAGGTCCGAGGAAGAGGAGGATCCCACAGGAAAGTCTGTTTTCCACACGGAACCGGCTGAGCAAATGGGCGAGGAAGAGGCCGAGCTGTGGTGTGCGAGAGGGCCGCAGCTGGAAGAATGGCGTCCATGTCGGTCCCGATGCCTACCGGCTGAGGATGACTGCTGCGGCTGTGGGCAGGAGGGACGTGGAGAATGGTTCCCATCATCTGTTGAGACAGGAAAGCAGGTTTCACGGGGTCTTTGTGCTTGGATAAGGGAGACAGCTTGAAAAGCAGAAACAAAAGCACAAGACCAATGAGAACTCCACTCCAAAAAGAAGGTGCAGGAAAGCCAGGGAGAGTATGTCTCTAAACACTGTCCATTGCAAAGTCTAGACAGAAACATTTTGTACAACCACCACCACATATAAGAAATTCTAATAGGTTCATTATGGCGGCACACACTTGTAAGCCTAGTACTAAGAATACGAAAGCAGGAGGATTTCAAGTTCAAGGCCAGCCTAGACTACACAGCAAGAACCATGTATCAGGAGGAGGAGATTGTCACCACTCATCTCCCACTTGGCCTGCCATAAAACCAACCAACCAACCAACAGACCGTAGCCCAAAGGCTGAGGAGTAACTACTCCAGCTCTGGAAACTGGAAGCCCCGAGGGTTGGGTTCTTGTGAGATATCTCTTCCTGGCTTGCAGATGACCTTAAGTCATTACTTACGGTGTCAGGGAGGAAGACAGGAGACTGCGATCTGGTGTCTGTCCTAAGGACACTAGTCCCATCATGTGGTTCCTACCCCGTGATCTCAGCGAATCCTAATTACCTATCAAAGGCCCCAACTCCAGATGCCATCACAGTGGAGGCCAGTGCGTTAGCCTGTAGATAGGAGAGGGACAATTCACCCTTTGGATGGCCCTGTGGTGAAGGAGCCCGGGGTCGTGGGATAAGATGAAGAGGCACAGAACAGAGGAAAACACAATCAAGGGCAGGATGGGAAGCCCCGTGACAGTAATGACACAATTGGCCTGCACAGAACTGATAGTGACATCAGGGACCTCGGATAACAGAAGACTGTAAGAACTGTGTGAAAACGGGGAACCGCCTCCAGGTGACGGATGGTGTGACCAGCATGACAGGCAAAGAATGCAAAGATCTAATAGAAGAAAATGTTTTTAGCTTTTGTATGTGTGAGTCTGGAAGGGTTGCCATGGTGTCGGACAGAGTCAACATAAGGAGATCCTAAATGTCAGTAGACCTTAGTGGCTTTAAAGGTACAAGACAGAAAGGAAAACTGAGATATCTGCACTTAAGAAGCAAGTTATACCTAGAGTTCCACGTAGACTTCTTGAGACTTCTCTGCAACATTGTATATCCAAAGAAAGTGGGTGTGTTTGGAAGGAAAGAGACTGTAAGAGTTTTATGCCTGGCAAAATTGGAATTGGCATTCAAATAAAAATGAGGGGATTCATAAAACGTTTTGTGAAAGTATTCACTCAGGGAACTGGTTGATGGAGCATGTGTAGGTACCTGAGTAGCTGTAGTGTGAGAGAGCTATGAACTCTTAACAAGTAAGTTTTAACCTAATCCAAATATGGAAGTTGAGTGTATGTTAACAATTAGCTTAAATACAGAGGTGAGTACCAAAAAGAACCAGGGTTAGCTCAGTTGGTAGGTAAGGTACTTACCTAGCATGCATAAACCCATCCTGGATTTGATCTCCAGAACCCCATAAATCAGGCATGGTTGTGCATGTCACAGTCATCTTCAGCTACATAGTGAGTTTAGGGCCAGCCTGAGCTATGTGAGACCCTGCCCACCCCAACAAAGAATAAAGCAGAAAGAGAGAGATGGGTTGGTGAATAGTACATTACAAAGTGTCACAGCGCTATGCACAGGAAAGACTCACTAATCCCACCCTGCTCAGCTGTGCTCCCATACCAGCAGGGTCAGCTGCTCCTTGAAGTTTATGTGCAACGTGAATTCTCTGACTCTAGTCCACATCTGTGGCATCAGACTCTCTAGACTAGAAACCAGTGGTTGATCTATGAGACTTTGTGGCGAGTTTTGTATGTGCTGAAGTCTCAGAACAGGTCTGGAGAGAGGGCTAATGGTTAAATGCTGCTCCCCCAGAGGACCCAAGTTCAACTCCCAGCACCCACATCCAACAGTTCATAGCACACACCTATAACCCCAGCTCCAGAGAATCTGATGCCCTCTTCTGGCTTCCATGAGCACTCGCATACACACAGAGACATGTAAATACAAATAAATACTTTTTCATTTTAATAAGCACCTATAAGTTCCCTTTCTTGGCCATAAAAGACATCAAAATGCTATTTCTACCCCGTTAACAATTAAAGATAGATCTCATATGCTTTCTAAAATAATAAGGACTATTGAAAAATAATGTAACACAGATGAAATGGAAAAGCAAAGAACTCATATCCCAAACAACCAGAGCCCAGAATGACAAACCAGAGAGTGTGAAACACAAACAAACGGAAAACGCATGCAGGTTGGCTGTCCAGTAGCCAAAATGCTTAAGACCAGTAATGTTTTGGATTTTTAGATTTTTTTATATCATAATGTAATATCCTAGGATGGGACCTGAGTCTAAATACAGAATTACTTGCCCTTCATATATGTGAATAGATAACCTCTAAGTGATTCCATTAAACATTTGTAATGACATTATGTGTGACACAAAGACTCAGAGCATGGAGTTTCCTACTTGTGGTATCTTGTTGGGGCATTTCAGGCTAAGGGGGATTAGGAATGTTCACCATATAAAACCCAATCGATCTTTGCAATAAAAGCGAGTGGTATAATCTCTCCAGTGAGAAAACGGGAGCTGTCAAGCTCATTTGAAATAATCCCAATCACTAATGGTTTACAAGCATCGCACCTAGTTCACTCCTTATCTTTTCTTTTTGCTTCTTTTTTTTTTTGTGTCTTTCTTGGGGACTTTTCCCTACTCCCCTAAAGAGATTAAAGGCCCCGTCACGGCTTTTTGAGACACTGTCTGTTTCCCTGAGTGCGCATGTTTGAAAGTCGTGTGATGGTTTGATCGTGTTTCCCCTTCCACACAGCTCCTTGAAGACAGGGACATGACAGTTTCTGCTCAGCCTCTACTGCAGTGCCATCCCTGCTTAATGAATGAAAGTATAGGAACGTGTAAGAACATGTCATTAGACACATGCAAACAAGTAGAAAGCACGACCTGACAGATCACTAGAAACTTAGTAATATTAATACCAGACGAACTAATAAAATGGTTTAATTAAATGTTCAAGCAATGCTTCTTAAATTTTCCCATGCATTAGAATGTTCTTATTAAAACATAAATTTATGGGCCACACCCACAGAAATTTTCTCTCAGCAGGTCCTCGGCAGTCTTGAGATACTTGGGTTTCTGTCAGGCTGCTGTGGCCCAGGAACCACTTGGGAGCAGTGTGTTAGGACTGGGTCTCAGGTCACATAGCCCAGGGTGACTTGGAGCGCCATGTGAAGCTGAGGATCCTTTACAGCTCTGGTCCTCTTCCCTCTGCCTTCCTGTTGCTGCTACCACCATGATGAGTTTACACAGAACTAGGGAGGGAACCTAGGACATCCTGCATGCTGGGGAAATTTGACAGCTCCGTTCCCAGCCCTCCAGTAGAAATTTGAGCCATAAGCTGTCATACACAGAGCAATAATGTACTTAAATGGCAAAGTAAATCCAGGGAAGCAGTGGAATGGGAGGACTTATTGCAACCTTTAGTCTTAGCTGCTGGAGCAAGCAGACAAGGTTGTGTAAAATTGGAGTAATATAATTAATACAGTTGATATAACAACCTTGACAGAAACTAAAATGTGTGCCTTTTCGGCATTCGTGAGTCAGCTCCAAAAATTGTTTAACTACCTCAAATCCCAAAGCTTCCATTTTGGGAAGGAAAGCAGAGGAGACTAAGAAGCCAGCAGAGACAAAGCTGCCTGTAATACAAGTGACAAAATGTTGATGTCACAAATTCACAAATAATGTAGTGATTCTTAAAGGAAATTCACAAAAGAAAAGCTATAGTTAATTATCCAAGAAAAGCAGTCAGTTTCCTTAGAAGTCAAGGAAATGGAGACTAAACCTGCAGTGTAATTGGGCCCTCTCTCCCAGGTCAGATATGCAAAATAGAGGGGACAGGGATGCGGTGTGTGGTTGGGTGATGGCACTTGGTTACCAGAAGCCTCCGGAAGCAGCGCCTCCCCACCTCTTTATCCCGGTGACACGCAGGCTTCTGAGCTGTATTTTGTAATCTTGTGCCAAACTAATGAGCAGATATGCAAAAGCCCCTGCAAGGATGTGGATTTCAGCAGTTTCTTTAAACAAGGGGGGGGGCAGTGACTTGAAACAGTCTGAATGTCCCTTGGTGTAGGGCAACTGGCTCAGCAAATTCCCAAGTCCCATGGGAGCCATGCAGCCGATAAAGGCAGTCCTGGAGATCAATACTTATTGATTGGGCAAGATGTCCACAAAGTATTGTCGATTGAATACACCAGGTTACAAAGAGGATATCGACCAGGGCTGGCTAATTCAAGGCCATAGGAGCCAGACAAATGGGAGCAGCAGAGAAACGCCCTAGAGGAGGGCAAAGGTGCTGTGGAGCAGGGCGGGGCAGCTGGTGGTGCCCCCGGGGAAGATGTCCCCCTTTGGGGGGGGGCATTGCAGAAGGCAGCACCTGCGCCATTAAAGAACTTAAAGCTTGTGTTTATCAGTGTTTGTCAATGTCCCCAAATGAACTGTTTTATGTCAGACTTCTTCAAAGGAGAGTTTAGGCAGACCCTAGAGAGATATACAGATAAAAGTCTAGTGATAGACCAGTCAGCTGGCGCAAGGGTTAGTGCGCACCTGATGCCTAACATCTGAACTTGATCTGCAGGACCCATGTTGTTCTCTGACCTTTACATGGGCTCTGTAGCGCACACATACATACACACGTATGTCGTCAGACACATGCAATGATAAATAAATAATAAGTATTTAGGCTTAGTGAGGACTAAGAAGTGTGCCCCCAGCTCCGGTGGGTAGAAATACCTGAGGACCAAGTGGTGGAGATAAGGGACCACGGTAGTGACCCCTGCAGTGGGCAGGGCTTGTGGAAAGGTTGACTTTGCGTGTCAGCTGGGGTCCCCTGGCACCAAGGCTGCAGGCATTGTTCTAATCATTTCAGTCGGTTTACTCCACAGGAATCCAAGAAGATGGCTCTTTGTTACCTCCCTCTTAAAGGTAGAAAATGGAGGCGTTGAGGGGCTGGAGAATTGGCTCAGTTTGTAACATGCTTGCACGCAGGGATGAGGACCTGAGTTCAGATCTCCAGGGCCCATGTATAGTCAGGTGCAGCATCTAATCCCAGATGGAGAAGACAAAAGCATGAGCTTCCTCGAGCACACTGGCCAGCCAGTTCTTTGAAAACAGTGATCTCCGGGTTCTGCAAGAAGGCTTGTCTCAAATAAATAAATAAACAAACAAGCAAACAGCTGTGGAAAAAAACACCCAAAGCTGACCTTGCCTCCACATGTATGATAACCTACGCACACATGTATACGTGCAATTGCCTCTACCACCACACACAGAACACTAGCTGTCAGAGGTTACAGGAGAGACCACACTGGGATTTGAACAGTTCAACTCCACAGTCCAAGTTGAGTCTGATGGTGGTCCCCAGTGAAGAGGGGTTTGAGGACTAAAGATGCTGGTGCTTTATTTGGGGTGGGGGTCACCTGTTCTCATACCTCCTTCTCCTTCCGCAGAAACCGGCAATTACACCTGTGAGTTCTGTGGGAAGCAGTACAAGTACTACACGCCCTACCAGGAGCACGTGGCCTTACACGCCCCCATCAGTGAGTCCCTTCTCTAGCTGGGGGATGGGGAGACCTGGGGAGGGGTGGGGTTAGCCACTGGCCAGAACTCTGGAGCTTTGCCAGAGAAGGTGCCAGCAAGGTGAGCTTGGGTCTGGGCTGTCAGGGGTCTGGCGTGCCCCAATCAGGTAGAGCTCTCACAGTAGCTCAGAGGACTGGCACTCATATTGGACATCAGGAGAGTGAATATTGTTTGTCCAATAACCTGGTGGGCCCTGTCCCCACATCTCCAAACACCTGCACATGTGGACTTCCTGACCTGCTCCCACCCCCATAGTATCCATCCTGGGATGTGGCTTTCCTCCTAGTTGACCAAGGCCCAACCTACCTGATGGCAGGGTGGCTGGGAAAGACAATCCTATGCTTTGGTGGTAGAAAGCTAAGGAAGCAGACAGTGTGCTTATGTGTAAGGCAGAAGACCTGAAAGCCAGGACCGGGCATCATGTGCTTCCTGGTGGCCATGACCCATAATCCCTTACTCCTCTCCTGACAAGGATAAGAAGGATCTCCATCTGGTACCCCGGCCCTCCACTTTCCGGATGCCTGTCAGCCTGCCCGGTGACTTCCGGGTGTCTTTCTGCAGATGACAGTCAGAGGAAGGTCCGTCTGACAGCCAGAGGGCCTTTCACCCTCTCCTATGCAAATAGACACATAAGTTGTAATGAGGCAGGACCTACATGGCCTCTGGAAGAGTCAGATAGTCCGAGTGGATGTTCAAGAGCCTCTGCTAATTTCCCTATGTGGACATCTCAGTGTAGAACTGGGGATCAGTCCCTTTTCTGAGACTGAGAAGATCTGGGGTAGAGTAAGAGGTGTAGCCATGGACGTCACAGCGTCAAAGCCACTTGTCTGGGGTGGTTGCAGACCTTCAGGAGCAGCGTAGGCAGGCGGCTCCCTGAGGGTAATGGAGTAGGGGGAGAGGTGTCTAGTGCTTGCACAGTGAGATCAGTGGCTTCCCAAGGATTTCCTCACTGCTGGCAGGGTGGTAAGGCTGGGGCCCCCTCCTCTTTGGATGGTAGCAGCTTCAATCCTGTGTTTACACTGGGCTGTGGTTCTTCATCTGGTTCAATGCCTGGCTGTTGTGTGACCCTTTGCCTGGTTAGCTTCTCTGGGCCCAAGTTTCCCATCTGTGAAGAGTTCTTGGGGGTCTTTCTATGCCAGAGTCTGAACTGACATCTGCAGCAGGCAGGTACTTTCAGGTAGGTATCTACTGTGGTCCTATGCATACTGTGTAGCTAGACCTTGGAGAGGGTGTCAGAGTTCTACTGGGTGGGTACCGCCCTGTCCATTTGGTCTCCACTCCTGATAGTGGTGCCCAGGCATTGGGCTGTTTGTGGGTAGCTGCTGCCAAGTGCCAAAGAGGATGTTACCCGGAATGCACTTAGAAAGGCATTACTCACAAGGCCAAAGGCAGCTGGGATTCAGTATCTATGCTACGTCCTTTCATTCCCAGAGTGTGTTGATAAAGTTATGGTGTCAGTTAGATGGGGAGTGGGTCCTGAACCCCACCAGGCAGTGGTAAGCCTTCCAAAGCTCTCCAGCCTCCCTTGGCACAGAAAGGGGAGCCCCACTTGTACCCTAACTTCTCTGACATGCTGGTGCTTCCCTCCCAAAGGACTCCCTGTGTCTCGTCCTGACTTTCATTTGGCTTTTCTCTCTGTTTTAGACTCTTTTTCTGTGTGTGTTTATTGAAATGTTTCTCTGGTACTCACTGATGTCTTCTGCGGATTTTAGAAACACCTGTTTAAAATACTAGATTTGATCTAGTTTCAACAATGGATGGTTTCTGCGAGCCTGGGCAGGAGACAGTGTTTTGATGGCCTCAGGATTAGATCTGTGTGTGGGAGTCTGGGTTCGGTGAAGGTGTGATTGGGTGGTGGCAATGGACATGTGTCCCTGCTTCTGATGCGAATGCAGAAGGCTGCCTGCGAAAGTTCTCCTGAGTCCCATGTGTGCACTTATGTCTGCTTTTGATTTCACTCACAAAACATTCTTAATATCGTGTGTCACGATATCGGCTCCCTTTTCACTGCTGATGGATCCCCTACTGTGCAGAATCTGAGTCTGTTTGATCACTTGCCTGCTCACTTGGGTTAATTCCAGCTTTAGGCTGACATGAATAGAACTACTTTGAGAGGCCTGTGTGACACATTCTGTGGGCCTGTGGGTCGTCCCCAGGATAAATACCAAACAAGGGGTGGAGCTATGGGGGAGTAGGTTTGTTTCCTTTTTATTGGCACTGACAAACCGTTTCCAAAATGCCCATAGCATCGGCCTCCCCCAGGAACTCTGCTGGCCCAGTGTTCTAGGGTTTGGGGTGCATCAGGCTGTCTGCTTCTGGTTGTTCTAGTGTGTGGACAGTGGCATCTTGTGGAATTGATGTCTATTTTCTTGGTAACTGGTGATGTTCACCCTTTTTGCATGGACTTATTGACCTTTTTCTTATTTGAGTCTGGTAAATATTTGTGTAGATGATGTATTATCTCACTTCCCTTCCCTCTCTTCCTCTCTTTCTTACTCTCTCTCTCTCTCTCTCTCTCTCTCTCTCTCTCTCTCTCTCTCTCTCTCTCTCTCTCTCTCCAGTTGTTTGCCCTTTTTTCATTGGCTGTAGGAATTCTTTTTACCTTAGAGTTGGTCCACATCCTCCATCTCATGGATATTTTCTCCTAGCCTTTGATAGTTTCCATGCGTCACCCACTGATAAGCAGGTGATTTTCATTTATGAAGCATGATTTATCATTCGTCTCTACAGTAGGTGCTTTCTGGATCCATCCTTACCTACTTCATGGTGGTGAGGTTCTTTTAAAAGTGTTTTAGGTCATTTTAACTTCCACACTCAGGTCTGCGGTTGAGCTGGGCTGTTAGCCCGTGACTGAGGTGAGATAGAAGGTTTGTCCTATTCTATGTAGACACCTGCTTGTCTAACAGCCTCCGTGGAAGTTACCTTTTCCTGTTCAGTGGCTTGGTGCCCTTGCTGGAGCCCGTTGAACATCCAGGGTTACTGTCTTTCTTTTCTATTGATTCATTTTTCTACCTTTATACGTGCACATGTGTTCTGATTTACTGCACCTCTTTGGGAAGTCTTAAAACAGCTCTCCTTAGATTTTCCACTTTATCCTTTCATTTTAAAGAATGTATGGTTCATCTAGGAACTTTATTTTTTTCATGTAAATGCTAGAGGCTTGCCAAGTTCTACCAAAATAATAATGATGAGAAAGGAAAACATCAGTTACATTTTGGGGGGGTTGACATTGAACCTGTAGACGCCCAGTGGTGGCGTGTCTTCGGGACCTGTTCATGGCTATGGTGTTGTATCTCCCAGGCAACCCCTGGCCATGGCTAGCCCTCCATGGAGCTGGGCATGCTTTGGTTCTCTCTGCACGTGTGTACTCTTCAGTCTCAACACCTGTTTCGTTAGGTGTCTGAATCTTCTGCTGCCACTGTAATTCTTGAACTTGAATTTCCCGATTGTTCCTGCTATTCCGTAGGAACGGTAGGGTTTTGCACTCTGGATTTGTGTCCTGCAAGTTTACTAAAATTGCTTGTCAGTCCTCGTAGGTTCCTTCTTGCCGTGGTGAAGTGACCCACTGATAAAAAGCAACTCTGATCATGGGCAGTGTTCTTTGTGATATCCGAGGGGGCTGTGCGCTCCACAGTCCCGTTTTAGGGTTCGCTGCACAGTGTTGAATGGAAGAAATGAGCGGGTGCACCTGCCTGCTCCCCATCGTGGGGTTCGGTTGCTCACTGCTAAGTGTCATCATTTTCATCATCACCTATTGTGTCAGCCACCGCAGGCTCCCGTAGCTGCCTGTCACTCGCTTACTGGAAGCTGGGCCTTGTAAATCAGGGCTGTGTGGCGTTTTCTTCTGTTAAGATGATTGCGTGGATTCTTAACATGTTTGTTTATTTATTTTGAGTTGTTTTGCTAGTGTAGTAGATGACATTTTTTAATGTGTCACTAAGCCTATGTTTTATTAAAATAGGTTGAGAATATCAGAAAATCAGAGTACAACATGAACTGAAGAATGTTATAATATTAGGATGTCTCTTTGTCAGAATTTCTGTTTTTAAACTGTATATTTAATGTATACAACTCTGATTATGTATACACATACATACACAGGAGCACACTGAAGAGGCCTTCCCAGTGATGTTAGTACATATTTAGTGTGTACAACTCTGATAATATACACATACATACACAGGAGCACACTGAAGATGCCTTCCCAGCGATGTTAGTATATATTTAGTGTGTACAACTCTGATTATGTACACACATACATACACAGGAGTGCACACTGAAGAGGCCATCTCAGCAGGAGACGGTTTTGCAGAGGAATTCTAAATTACAGAAGAGTCTAGGTAGTTTGATCAGTTACTTTGCTTTCAAGGTCATGTTTTATACTCACTTCTGTGTAAACTTTCTCAGGATCTTCCCTGACATTTAAACAAACTCTCCCAAGGGCAGGGAATTATAATCCTAGACTAGGAATGTGCCCCATGATCAACCAGTGGGGTGATCAAGGGTCCTTAATCAAGAGAGTAAATATTGACCGGGCAGGGGTGGCACACACCTTTAATCCCAGCACTGGGAAGCAGGGGCAGGTGGATCTCTGAGTTCTGGTCTGCAGAGTGAGTTCCAGGACAGCCAGGGCTACACAGAGAAGCCCTGTCTTGAAAAAACAAAAACAACAACAGCAACAAAATAAAGTAACTATTTCTAATGAGTCTTTAAAACACTAAATGCCACCAGTAAAATATATTAATCCCATAACTAAGCTCCCACCATTTATAGTGTAAAAGTGGTAACCTTTGGTCAATGGATGTACCAAAATTCAGATAGCAAATGTAAATCCACAGTCATCTTGTGCCCTTATTTACCACGTTCCCATCCCCAGCAGGCACCAGTCTGCTCGTGTTGTTGTTGATGAGTTTGCATTCCTGACATGTGGACTCTGACAGAATGTGCTCCATTATGGAGG